TTGAATTCAGGGCCCCGGTACTATCCCTTAGCTTTTTTCACTCAAGGATGGTACTCTACCACTTGAGCCACATTTCCATTTCTAGCTTTTCGGTGGTTAACTGGAGACAAGAGTCACAGGGATTTTCCTGCCTGGTCTGGCTTCAAATAGAGATCCTTAGATATGAGCCTTTTGAGTAGTCAGGATCATAAGTGTGAGCTACTGATGCCAGCCTAATAGATTTTTTTTTGGGGTGTCTGGTAGTGGGGCCTGTACTCTGGGTCTGGGCACTGTCCCTCTTGAGCTCTTCAGCTCAAGGCTAATGCTCTTCCACTTGAGCCACAGCACCACTTTCTGGCTTTTTTCTTCTTGCGTATGTGGTGCTAAGGAATCGAACCCAGGGCCTCATGCATGCAAGGCAAGCGCTCTACCACTGAGCCACCTTCCCAGCCCTTAATAGATTTTTTTTTTAAACAGCCATTGAGAAATTCATTTGAGATATGAAGAACATCTTTACAAAATTTTTGCTCTGGACAATGTAAAACTGCTTACAGTGAATGACTTTTGAATTCTTATTTTTATTTGTGTTCAAATTAAAGTGAAGATCAATCGTAAGTTACTGCCCATGAGTTCATTGGCCTGCTGCTAGCTTGTTTGTTTTTTGTTTTCTGTTTTATCTTTACACAGAACGCCATTCACACCTATACACAGGTGGGGTCTCACTTGGCTGCAAAGGAGAAATCTAACTTGTGAGCTCTGGGCCTCCTGGCAGAACCTCGCCTGGGAAAAGCACAACTTTCACCTGTCATCTGATCACCACTGGTTGGAAGGTTCTTCAGTGCTAAGATGCACACCTGAAAGCTAATGTCTTTAAAATGATAATCCAGATTTCTCTAGCAATACTTTTAATGCTGTTTCCCTAGGGGAAATTAAAGGTTAGGGCTTACAGATCATTTAACTAGTTGCACATGGAAGTTGGTTGGATTATTCATTTAAAATGACTAGTAGGAAAGTTTCTAGTCAGAGATATGATTTTGTTTGATTAAAAAGAAACTTGGTGAAATCAGTAAGTCTGCCTATCACCTCATGGCCTATTATATAAAAATGACTATAATTATCTGAGAAAAGATAAAAATGATCCATTCAAAAATTTTTATTTTTCTAAGGTCCTTATAGGAAAAACACAATGTATCTGTCAGTGTCTGTAGGAAAAGAAAACAAACTTAGACCATGATAGTTTGATGTTTATTCCTATTTGTAATGATCAGATTTTTTTTCTCACTTGAACTTGCATTTATGCTAACACAGCATCCTTCTCGATATGATTGCTTACATTTTTACAATAAAATAATCTGTATGTAAGAAGAGAAGAATGGTGTTTGATTTCTTTTGGCTTCATATATACTTTGGAATGTGATTGTCTGTGTTAGTTGTTTACCCTTAAATATGAAAGGGCTGATGTAACCAGTTACTGTGTTAAGTAGTCTTCCAAACAGCCTTCTGGAACACTTAGGAAATAGCACATGTCCTAACTTTGAACACCACTTATATCTCTTATCTGTAAGCTAAATTACTTCTTGGGAGTTTAAAAATAACCCTTCATAACCCCAGTTACTTTCTCCTTCTCCTCCTCCTCCTCCTCCTTGTTCTCCTCCCCCTTCTCCTTTTCCTCCTTTTCTTCTTCCCCTCCTCCTCTTCTTCCTCTTCTTCTTCCACTTCCTCCTCTTCCTCCTTTTCTTCTTCTTCCCCTCCTCCTCCTCCCTCCTCCTTTTGTTTTTTAGGTCATGGGGCTGGAATTCTGGGCCTGGGTGCTGTCCCTGAGCTCTTCAGCTCAAGGCGAGTGCTCTACACTTGAGCCACAGTGCTATGCCAGTTTCCTGGTGGTTAATTAGAGATAAGAGTCTCAAGGACTTTCCTGCCCAGGCTGGCATTGAGCTTCGATCCTCAGATCTCAGCCTCCTGAGTAGCTACGATTACAGATGTGAGCCACTGGCACCAGGCTCAGTTACTTTCTTATTTAAAAAAAAAATCCTATTTGCCTCTTGTTCTTGAAAATCACGTGGAAGACTTTAAGGGTGAATTCTGAACTCTAAATGAAAATACCTTTTGGTTGCAAATCCTCTTCCTACCTTCATTTCCAAAATTAGTTTGAATTCACTCATAATCCCAGCACTTGGGAGGCAGAAGCATGAGGTTCTCAAATTTGAGGCCAGCCTCAAATTACATAGCAAGTTCAAGACCAGCTAGAGTAACATAGTGAGACTCTGTCTCAAAACAACAACAAAAATAAACCCCAACTAATCAGTGGCTGGGGATGTAGTTCAGTGGTAGGGCATTTGCCTAGCATGCACAAGCCCCAGTACTACAAAACAATAAAGATAAACATGATTTGTGCTAACTCTCAACTTCCTGAGATGTGACCTTTACAAAACTACGAGGCCACTAGCAGATAGATAAAAATTCTTATTTTTTTACTGCCAACTTCTTGGCTCTCCTGTCAAACTATCCTACCTAAATTCTTCCTGCATTTCAGGACGTTGTGACTGTTCTGCTTTCAGACATAGGAATTAAATTTATGTACTTGTGCTCAATAGTGAATTCCCAATTGTGAATGAATAGCATATCATTCTAAAAATTGACCTTTTTTTGGTACTGGGACTTGAACGCAGGGCTTCACAATCTCATTTGATTATTTTCCTCAAGAATTGCACTCTATTACTTGAGCCACACCTCCATTTCTGTTGTTGTTGTTGTTGTTGTTGGTGGTGGTGGTGGTGGTTAATTGGAGGTGAGAATCTGTAAGATTTGTGTGACCAGGCTGGCTTCAAATCAGGATCCACAAATCTCAGCCTCCTGATTATAGGCATGAGACACTAGGATCCAGCTATACTTCTGATGTTTAAAAATCTATACTTAGGCTGGGAAGGTAGCTCAGTGGTAGAGTACTTGTCTTGCATGCATGAGGCCCTGGGTTTGATTCCTTAGCACCACGTAAGCAGAAAAAGCTGGATGTGGTGCTGTGGCTAAAGTGGTAGAGTGCTAGCCTTGAGCTGAGGAGCTGAGGGACAGCACCCAGGCCCAGAGTTCAGGTTCCATGACCGGAAAAAAAAAGAAAAAAAGAGAAAGAAACAAACAACCCCCCCCCCCCGCACTTATAACTTGTTCTTCTAAAAGGTGCACACCATATGGGCTTTGAGAAACACTGCAAAGTATCACCTGACTAGTTTCAGAGTAAAGGTCAGGATTTTGGTGAAAATGGTTTACTTTGGGGTTGAGCATGTAGCTTAATAATAGAGTACTAGTCTAGTAAGTGTGAGACATTGGGTTAATGCTTGACATTGAAAAACGAGCAAAAAATAGACACATTTATCTTTCTGTGACAAAGAGCATTGCTGCTTTGTAATGTGTCAGAAGAAATGAACTTTTAGGGACTTGTTAGAACATTCTGGGAGAAAAGCCTCAAAAGACTGCTTGGGCCATTTCTTTACCTCTTGGTTCCTGGCTTGTCTACAGGGCAAAAGGCCAAATTCCACCTTAAACTCTTTGATAAGACAACTGAAGACTTTTAAACCCCTTTTAGAGCTTTGAAAGATGTGAAAGGTTAATGTGAATGAACTCAGAAGGTTCTCTAAATCTCTGAAGTTATGAAAAACTCAGAACAATGACCTCTGAAGACATAGTAAGTTTGCTAGGGAAAGTGTATTGCAAATACTTATTACAGAGAAGTATTTAACTTGTCTTATTTAACTTTTAGATCAGTGAGGTTTGCATATGTCTGTTGTTTTTACTTTTTGTTATTTTGGTTCAGTATTGTTTCCTAAAATGTAACAGTTTGAATAAGCCTTTGTATTTCAGTCCTTTCATAAACTGTATTATAGAGCTATATGCTTAACTGCTTTAAAGACTGTGGAGGGCAGACTGACGTGTGATAGTCCCTACTCCCGTGTCCCAAATCCTGAAATTTGTGAATGTAATCTTTTTGGGAGAATTTGGCAGCTCAAGATAAGATCACCCTGTTCCTCCAGGTGCAGAAAGAAGTGTCTTAAGAGATCGAATGGGAGAAGGAAGAGCAAGCTGTGGTTATGGCTGCTAAGATTGGCCTTTTGCAGCCACAGGCCAAGGAACACCTGGCTCCAAAGGCTGGAAGAAGCAAAGGTGCTTTCTCAGAGCCTCAGGTGGAAGTGGGGCTCTGGCAATACTTTGACTTCAGACCTCTAGCCTCTAGTGCTGAGAAAATACTTTTTCCCCCTCTCTCTAGTATTAGAGCATGAACTTATAGCCTAGGCACTGTCCCTTAGCTTTTCACTCAAGGTTAGCATTCAACCACTTGAGCCACAGCCCCACTTCGAACTTTTTGTTAGTTAACTGGAAATATGAGTCTTGGATTTGTCTGCCCAGGTTGGCTTCAGACTGCAATCTTCACATCTCAGCCTTCTGAGTAGTTAGGATTATAAGCATGAATCACAAGTCCCCAGACATGTTAAAAAAAATGTAAACCTGATGTCTAAATAGTAAAATTTAACTCCCAAGTAAGAAATAAAACACAACCTCAAAACAACAGGCAAATAAATAAACACCTGCTATGTGCATCTAACAGAAACACATGCCAGTTACAGCAGCCCCTGGGCTCCATTTGATGATGGAAACCCTGTTTTATGATATCAAAAGTGGTGGATAAGACAGTTCCATGTATTTCTTACATGATCTGAGGTTCGGGAAAAAAACTTCCGTTTCCCACTTTCTAGGAAATGAGTTATCAAAGGCTGATAATACTTAGCTGAGCCTGCCACTCTGAGTGGAACAACACAGAGACACATGTATATGTTAAATATTTTATTCACATTGTTTTACAAACTATATCCACCTGGAAAACACATGAATCCAAAAATAGATTATTTTACAGTAATTCACATTTTTTTTTAAAACAAGTCACTTTAGAAGTTAAACTCTAAGCATGGAGGTCTGCAGCTTGGGATTGTGGCTCAGTGTCTCATCACTGGACAATCTCAGCTCTGGTGAAGTCCAAGTTCCAGGGCCAGTCCATCAGGTTGTAACATACCGGCAACCGATGAGAAAGTATCAGTGCAGACTCTAACTTGTGAATATTTATTGGTATAATTCACTGTTGCCATTTTGGTAAAGGAAATAGGTTTTTGAGCTTGAGTATATACCAGGCAAAAAGACAAAACAAGAGACTCACATTTAATTGGCCATCACAGGGTGTTGAGGCATTTCCAGCTTTAGAAAGATTTAACATCTTGACCCCAGACAGAATCAATGGGTTCTGATTTTTATAGTTTTGATGGCTTGAATCAAAGAAACAGAAGTGATTTGGAAATTGAGGCAAGTGTCTGTTGACCAGCTCTTTGCATGTTCAATGCCAGCCACCAGTTAGGAGGAATAGGGGAGGGAAATATCAGTAATAATTCATAATGGGACTAATTGTAAGAGTGGAACTTGAGAAGCAATAGGAATTTTGCTAAGTGGTCCAAAAGACGTTCTGGTTAAGAAACTTAATAGTAACCTAGGCTAAATTCATTTTGATCCCAATTTAATGGCTTAGCTCTTATTAAGAAACTCATCTATGGAATTTAACTGTGATGATTTAAAAATCTAAAGCACACATATCTTACATCTTACCCTCTTTTACTATAAACTACAAACTAATCATGATTTCTGTTTTTCTTTTTGAGCTGCCTCAGTTAATACCTGAAAACCTTTGAACTTTGGAAATCAGAGGACTGGACATGCCTCTAATGAGAATTAGATCCTATCCTTTGGACAGCACCAGATAGCTACTGTGGCTCTGAACACTTCATTAGGGAAAAATAATCAAGTTACCATAAGAGACCACCCCTTCCTCCCTTTGGAGTGAAGAAGATTTCATGAGTTCCTAAAATCTCCCCCAAGTAGATGACTGAATCGAAATGTATGCTGAGATGAGATGTGGAGAAATTTTATCAGCACATTTGCAGGCTTTTTTTTTTATAAAAACTTTCCAATGTCAATTGCATTCCAATTTATGAAAAGACAATAATCCATAAAATGCTCTCGGTGCCCAGAACAGATCACAGCTTATCTTCTTGCCAACCATGTGCATTTTTTCCAAATTTATACACTAACCTTCGGTCAACCCGCTCCAGGATTCCTGTTTTATAGTAGTATCTGAAAACAAATAGAAGAGAACTTTGGGGAGAGTTTGTACCCTAGGAAAACAACAGAACACAAATACATTCTCTTCACTCCTCTCAGATGACAAAGCTGGGCTTTGGCTCTCCTTGCATTTTTACACTGTCTTATCAACTTACATTTAAACCTGTCCCAGATATCTAGAAGACTGAACATTACCATGTTCCATTTAGAATGTGTGTGTGTGTGTGTGTGTGAGAGAGAGAGAGAGAGAGAGAGAGAGAGAGAGAAAGAGAGAGAGAGAGGAAGAGACAAAGTAGGGGGAGAGAGAGGGAGAGGGAGAAAGAGACAAAGTAGGGGGGGAGAGAGAGAGGAGAGGGGGGATGGGTCTGGATTTAGAGTGATCCCTAGGGAACACTGCCAATGAGAACAAAAATGATGGTGTGTCAATTTACAAGCCATAATCCCACCTGTAACTAAGAACCAATGTTTTGTCTCATGGCCTTTCCAATATCAAGTAAAAAGCAGCAAAATAGGGTAATTTTCTATGGTTAGCCATTTTATGTAACTTGTCTTTGAAGGCTCATGGTATTTTTATGCTATTAACTTACCTCAGAGCCCTGCTCAACTTTTCATACGTCATCCTGTCATTTTTCTTCCTTTGTCCCCACATCTTTGCCAGGGCTTCTGATTTAACCACCCGAAAAATACCTTGTTCCCTATCTTCCCATTCCAAGATGCCACAGTTTTCTTCAGGAGACAGAAGCAAGTCTCGCACAAATTCCCATAGATGAGAACTTTGGAGGCCTTTTGGAAAGAAAGGGGAAACATACTGAATTTTTTTTTAAATTTTAAATAAAGACAAGTTATATAATTTCTCATTACCCAGGAGAATAGAAGCTCTACAGGGTAATTTCTCAGTGTGACTGTGTGTTCTTCAGCTTTGAAATGTCCCTCCTTGACAAAGCAGTAGATAAATTCACATACAGAGTTTATTGTAAATTTACAATAACAACACTGTGGCTCACAGATGTTCTGTTGTTTTTGCTCATCGAAACTATGGATTAATGATTGTGCATGTGTGTGTGTGTGTGTGTGTGTGTGTGTGTTGGTTCTGGGGCTTGAACTCAGAGCCCCTTGCTCTTGCTTTGCTTTTTCAAACAAGGCCATAGTGCTACCAATTGAGCCACACTTCTGCTTCCAGCTTTTTTTGCTAGTAAAGCAGGTTTGCTAGTAAACCCTGCTAGTAAAGCAGGGTTTCTTGTTTTTTGTTTTCTCGAATTGGCTTCAAACTGTGATACTCAGATTTCAGCTTCCTGAGGTGCTGGAATTATAGGTGTGAGCGCGTGCCTGGCTTCTGTGGATTAATTTTTATAGAATGAAGGAAATGATCTTTTCGTTCTTCTGACAGGCAGTACTGATATACTAGGATCTTACAACCCACAACTATCCTGACATTTCATTTTTCACAAAAAGCTAGCATTTCTCTTATTCCATGATAAAATGGTTGAGACTTGTTCTGGGGTCCAGCTACCTAGGTTTGGGTCTTGCATTTGCCTCTTTGTAGCTCCCTAAAGGCAAATCTCTCTAGTTTCTTTATCTGATGAGCCCCAGTGCTACGGGATAGGTAAAAGGGTTTCGTGATTTAATTGTTAGCAAGTGATTAGAGCTTGGAAAGGATGGCTTTTACACCCTCATCTGTGGGATGAAGTTTCACCTTGCCCCAGGGAGATGTCTTAATGCTGGTTAGGGCTCACGGAACTGCCACCTCCTAGTGTTTTCTTCACTATTCTCCCTTGAGTACTTCAATGAGAAGGGCCTACAATGGACTAGGAAAAATAAAACCCTCCTTTACAAACACTAGAACATTGGTTTAGTGCCTCCCTTTAATTGTTGAAATTCCATTTTCAAGTGAAAAGAAATAACCCTGATATTGATGACATGTATGAAAAAGCAATCATGGTTTCCCTTACTAGCTCCCTGGGGAGGTAACTGGTGGGGCTTCAATCTTCTTTCAAAGCTTATTCAGGTAGGTTGTGTTGCCTTTGGAATGGCGGATGAATGTCTCTGCACTTACTTGTTCGACTATGACCGTGGCAGTCTTGACTTTTGATGCCATTTGTTTTCAAGCAGTTGGAATCAGCATCTGAAACAGAATGACGTGTAGCAGTGGGAAGGATATAGAGGCCACTTGGAACCCCAAACTGTACTAAACTGATACATTAATTGATGACCTCTATGGTAAAAGAGACTGTGTTAAGGCATTCTGTGCGTGATCAGTGGAGGGAAGGGACAAAGAGGCCATTGTGTGTCATTCAGAAGGAATGTGTATGCTCAAACCTGGGGACTTGCTGCAGTCTGGGATGTGGGCTTATACGGGGATACAGGAACAAATACATAGGTGCATGATGTGTTCAAATAGACTTGAAAGACAAATGGACCAGGCAAACCCCCATGCATAAAGGACAGGTTGCCCACTGCTTTCAATGTCATGAAGGGGCAAAACATCGGACAGGAAATGAGGAGGAGAAGTACCTACTTCCAGAAAGGCCTCACCATGAGGCTGGCTATGCTCAAAGGTAAACAGGAAGTGAAGAAGAAGGTCCCAGATAATGGAGAAATGTTAAAGGCTGACCTGGAGAAAGCACCCACGGGGCAGGCCCCCATACCAGGAATTTGGGAGGTGGCGATTCTGGGGATGGCTGGCCAGCCATATAGGGACTTCCTTGTGGGCCAGATGAGGACTTAGGAATCCCTAGCCAACTGGAATGCAGAAGTCCCCATTTTAATATTCACAGTTTTAGATCTTTGTGGCTTTGGTGTGACATACAGATTTTAAAAAAAGGCACGATGAAAATAGAGTCCAGAAGCTTATAAAAGGTAGGAAGTAAGACATTAACTTGGTTGAATTGTACATAACTCACGCTATAATTTGACAATCTGAAATATCCATATATATCCCCAAGTTGAGTATTTTGTGTGTGTGTGTGTGTGTGTGTGTGTGTGTTTGTTTGTTTTGTTCCTTAGTGGCGTACAGGAGCTGTCCCTCCAGCCCTGCATTAAATCTCACTGTCCTCTCTCAGACCCTTCCTGGCTTTGCCCCAGCCATTCCATCCTCCAGCGTCTCAAGGAAGCATTTCATTCTACCTAGCACCTTCCTATTTGCTCTTCCTTTGGCCCAGAATGCTCTGTCATTAGATGTCTGTGTGTTCCTTTCAACCTTGGCTCCAAAAATCTTCTCTCAGAGAACCAGTCATAATCACACATTGACTTCTCTGTCTAGCACTTTTGAAGATGCATTTCCTATGGGTATTCCTTCAAACATTCTAGCACAGTGCCAGGCATAGAGAAGGCACTTGATAACTGTTATTGAACAACCACTGTCCCACATGAACCACACCTACTATGTAGTGTAATATGTACGTGACATGAAACCCAGGAAGAGCTATGTCATCAAGGGAGGAAACTCTGTTTTAAGCACACAACTCTTGCCTTAGCTGCCCTCTCTCAGTGCTACTGGGTAGTGTTGCTCCCCAGCTAACCACTCTACAGTGCTGCTTTGTTGTGTCCAGCTCATTAGGCTCGAATCCCATCAAGATCTCCCACCTTATTCCTTCGTGCTCCTCAGCATCTCCTCTTAGTCCCCATGGGCTATGGTTTGCTCTCTCAGGGCTTCCCTACAGGCTCCTCTTTATCACTCATACTCAGTTGATTTGTGCTGTCACATACCCTCTTCAGAAGGCTTCCTAGCACCACCCTCTGGGTTAGATCCCTTCTGAGTCCCATGGTACCTGTGTGCTCCTTTGTATAAACCACAGCATTGCTCTCACACGACTGAAAAGATCCCTCTTATTAACAGCTGGTTTCTATGGAGTATTTATTAAGTAAGTGATCCACATATGACATCTCAGTCTTGTATGATATTGTGATTTTCGTTGTTGGGAGGAGGAATTTGAATCCCAGAGAGTTTAAAGACTTTTATCCAGATAGTGAAGCCAGGATTTAAACCCAGAGAGCTCTCATTCCTAAGCTGATGCTTACAATTTCTACTTCAGTGTGTTTCTTGAAGGAAGTGCTCAATAGGCATTCAATGACCACTTAGCAGCTCAGGTGTGTTGAGCATTTGCAATCAACCAGACATTGGATCTTAACTACTCATGCTACGGATATCTGTTCCTATCACAACAATGGTGGGAATTCTGGGGATGGTGATTCTGTCTGTACTATCTGTTCCAGATCTGTGGTGCTGGCCTTGAAGGTACTCATGGGTTGGACTAGATTTTCCTGGTAGTGGTGATGAAGTTGCTACCTCAATGTCAAGGTTTAAGCAGGCACCCAAACCACTACCAAGATCAGCTATTGGGTCTTCAGCAGCATCCTGAAGCTACTTGGGTTCTAATTTGCCAATGCTGGTGATGTTTCTAGCTGTGGTTCTCCCTGCCCCACGACATCTCAGCCATGGCCTTGCAGCTGGGGCTGCCTAGAGTATGACAAGAGGAGGCCTGGCCTACTCTCTGCTGTCTGTGTGATCTGGACACTTAATTGGCCTTGAGATTGGAAACTTAAAATGTGGCCAAAGGGTTTCTTCTGATTTATTCGTCAAGGGTCCTCCAGAAGCTGAGATTGGGATCTGGGGCACATGGTTTACCAGTCAAACTCATCACACCTTCAGGATACTAGCAGCTCAGTCACATGACCCCACCTCATGCCAGGATGGTGTCGGGATGCTATAAGGCTCAAGAGCACGGAGCTGCCAGCAGCACACCTATCATGGCAGTCTTTATTCCTGGGTGTGATGTAGCTTCTCTTTCATCTCATTTCTGCAGTGGGGGTGGGGATACAGGCAGGTATAGAGTAAGAACAGAGTGGAGAGGGACCCGGTTGTGCCTTTGATAATTTTGATGATTTCATAGCTTGCTGGGTCTTGGTGCTCTTAAGATGGGCTGAGTTGAAGGTCATTCTATGATGAATTATTGTCAAGCTCTGCCCAAATTTAGAGAGGACCCTGAATCTTTAGTCTCTGCTGATTGAGGAGCAGAGTGAATAGAAGGGCCCAGGTAGGTATGCATATGTGTGTTGTACACATACACATGTGCACATGCATATTTATGTACAGCAGAGGCTCTAACTTGTTAAGTTGGAACCACAACTCTGCATTTCTGAACCTTGGGATACCTAAGATGTGAAGGGAGCTAACAATGTGACCTGCTAGAATCAGGATGAGGATTGCCTGGGTTCTGGTATGAAGGCTGCTTAGCACAGCTCCACACTTAGCACATGGTACATGTTTCATAAACCAACGGCTATTAATTTTTACTCAAGATCAAACAGTAATACTGTAGGAGTCCCAGAATACCACCTTGTCTTTTCTTCAGGGCTATGGTCTATGGCTAAATGTTCAAACTTGTGCTGGCCTCAGAAACTTTGCACTTGACAGTCACCCTGTAACCTTCCCTTTCCTCTCTCTTGTGAGAATGGGTAGGGTCCATGGGGAAAGAAGTAGGGCCTGCTCCACAAGAAGGGTTATGGGTTTGGTTGTTCTTATAATAAAGCCCCCAAACCGAACAACAAATGAAATACCCCAAGGGTCAAATAATCTAAATCCTCAATTGATTGTAATGTGACTTAAAGAAAGAGAGTCCTTTGGTGTCTATCTCTAGAGCTGGCAGCTCTCAGAGCCCTGGAAATCACCAGCTGCTCTGGTCCATGGGGAAGGGCCTGCTCTGGACCACATTGCTTCCTATCCTCTGGGACAGGGTCTTTGTATAGGACTCAGTATTAATAGCAACAGTAATAACCAGCATCATCTTTTCTTTCTCTTCTTTGAGATTGTCTTAGGGGTTGAACTCAGGGCCTGAATGTTGTCCCTGTGCTGTTCATTCAAGGCTAGTGCTCTACCATTTGAGACACAGTTCCACTTCTGGGTTTTTGCTGGTTAATTGGAGATAAGAGTCTCATAGACTTTCCTGCCTAGGCCGGCTCTGAATCTTGATCCTCAGATCTCAGCCTCCCAAGTAGCAGGATGACAGGCATGGGTCACTGGTGCGTGACTCAGTATCATCTTTAAGAACATAGAAGCTGCAAAGTCCTCTTTCCTAAACCTTCTCCACCTGCAAGGGCAAACTTCCTGGGAAGGCTAGTCTTCAGGATCACAAAGCCTGTGAGATCCTCTGTCATCTTAAAATTATTATCTTCACTTATGGAGTGAGCCCAGATGAATCTGAGGTCTGCAATGGTGAGTAATCAGCATATCCTAATGACATAGGCATTTAGAGCATCTGTCCTGCTGACATTCACTCTAAGTGGTACTTTGATTGTTTCTCCAACTCATCAAAACCATCAGAGTCCTCTCATTTTACAGACTGCAAAATGGAGTCTTGGGGAGGGGAGGGATTCTACAGATCCCAGCAGTGGCCCCACAGACCTTGACCCGTGCTCTTGCTATTTTACTTCTTCCCACTCTCTTCTCTAAGTCTTTCATTGTTGGGGTTCATTAGCTTTCTCATGTAGTTGTGAAAGCATTAGGAAGCCCACGATTAAGCCCAACAATAGCCTGGGTATAGCTTTGGGCAGTTCCATCTTGATTACTTACAGTCTTTGATGGTGGCTTTGGTCTCTTCAGTGTCATTGAAAAAGGAATAACCTGGGAAAGGAAAAGAAAATCCACAAACTATTGCATGCAATTCTGGTTTTCACTGGCCAAAGCAGGAGAGGGCATTTTGGGAGAAGAGGAAGAATTCTCCCCTGGGAGGGGTGGGTTTATGTCAAAAGGAAAGTTGGAGGCCATGTAGCTCTTATAGGACCACTTGTAAGCCATCCCCAAGAGGGGCTAATCTCCTTGTTCTCTAAGAACACTTGGAAAGAGCCCCTGAGGATCTTTTTTTGTGAGAACTGGGGTTTGAACCCTGGCTGGGGGCCAAGAGGGTGGGGCTTTGAGCTGGGCTGGATCATGGCTCCTGTGCAGTCTTGCCAGTCACTTGGGCTTTGAGCTGGGCTGGATCACTGGCTCCTGTGCAGTCTTGCCAGTCACTTGGTCTGTAAGCTTACTGGTCCTTCTCAATGGGACCTGACGCAGAACACCCACTTGACTCTGTGAGTCTATTACTCTGATTATAAACCCTGGAAACTAGAATTCCTGGAGATGAGACAGAGGGCAGACAAATCCGTGAGACTCCTGTCTCCAATTAACCAGCAGAAAGCTAGAAATGGGGTTGTGGCTCAAGTGGTAGGCAGCAGCCTTGAGTAAAATAAGACAAGCAACAATACAAGGCCCTAAGTTCAAACCCTACTACTGGTGCAACACACACACACACACACACACACACACACACACACACACACAC